GCTCTCGATGCCAGTCTTTCAGGTTTCCGACCATTTCATGCCCTTAACTTTGAGTGCGGTGCCTACACAGTTTCTCATCTCCAGAATCAGCTCATTTCGGTTCCGTGTTGTAGTCCTTCTTCGGCGCTTCAGCAACGGTATAGTTTTTGAGCACGTTTTTGATACATGCGTGAGCAAGTACACGAGAATTCCGTTTGAACAGCATGCAACATTGATAGCACCGTATTCAAATACATAATGGTTTCCCTTAACTTTGTGACTTTCGTATTTCATGCCGACAATAACATTTCTCTACACGCATTTCTATTCACTGTAAACAATAATTCCGACTAAGGCATCGGAAACGGGGTTTCCATCTAATGCGTGGAGAAGGGAATTCCGATTCATAGCGGAAAGCATGTCTCCTGTTATTCAACGTTCCAAAAGAAACCTCGGAATCCATCCCTCTGACTAAAGTAATGGAGCCTTCCTCTCATTTTACGGAAAATTCAAATCCATTTTCGGAATCGGGTTTCCGTTCACTGAATCGGGTTTCCGTTCACGGAATCGGAAGTAAATTTCCGTCTCATTTGGGTTTTCCGTTATTGTCTTCATTAGTCAAAAACGGCTCCTTTCCATTCGAAATACTGCACATTTGATGCGATTTCGTTACCATTAATCAGTGAGTATTTGGTACATCCCCGTCACGGAGATGCTGTATGTTCTATTCAATATCGCAATATTTCTGTAGCTCTTTTTAATAAATTTTGGATAAGATCGCGACCTGTTCTCTCCTCTCTCTCTTCTCAAAGAGAGAGTGTTAGAGGAAAACGACCGCATCCTGAGTCCTGCATCTACTTTGATTTTCCATGAAGTGCGGGCCGCTGGCAGCCAGGAAGTGTAGATGATGTCAGTGAAGCAGATCGTCCATCGTTTCGGAGCAGTTCCTCTCACCGATGGGAAGAAGAAACTGTGATGCTCTTCGTTTCCCTGTATCCGATAGAGAAATACACATAAAAATACCTTTCTTCACGAGAAGGAAAACTG